GGGAGAAGAGACCGACCCCCACCTCACTACAACCTCCTTTCAGGCAGTTGTAGAGAGTGATCAGATCTCCCCTCAGCCTCCTCTTCTCCAGACTAAACAACTCCAGTTCCCTCAGCCGCTCCTCATCAGACCTGTTCTCCAGACCCTTCACCAGCTTTGTTGCCCTTCTCTGGACACACTCCAGCACCTCAATGTCTTTCTTGTAGTGAGGAGCCCAAAACTGCACACAGTATTTGAGGTGCAGCTGCCTCACCAGTGCCGAGTACAGGGGCACGATCACCTCCCTACTCCTGCTGGCCACACTATTGCTGATACAGGCCAGGATGCTGTTGGCCTTCTTGGCCACCTTGGGCACATTGCCAGCTCATATCACATGCCTTTGTCACCATTCTCAGCTAGCAGACCTAGAGATGAAAGAGATCGGCTGGTGAAGTACCACAAGATGAAGGATTACCTGGCTGTGAATATTCCAGACTAAGATATATTTAACTAATAAGCTCATGTGTAAGACGTCTACTGCTTCAGAGCATGCAACAAGTGGCTATCAGCTGTCTGAAATAAAAGCTGTTTCAGAATAAAGCACTCCACAGAATATTCCTTGGGCTTGATCTCACACAGACTCCCGTACACAAGTGGGCATGTGCTTTGTGGAGCTGAGAGTTGCTGGAGGAGCTACTGCACAGATGTTCAGGATCTCACTCCATAGATTTGTCATATGAGAGCAAGTGACAGGACAGAAAGATCTCCAGGTCAAATGTTTTTTAAACCTAGCTTGCCAGTCAGGCTGTAGCTCCACCACAGATTCTGTACAGGCTGAAGGTCTAAGTGATCAATTAACCCAAACCAATTAACCATCCATATACCTGCACTGGATAAAACACGTAACAACAGGAACATTTTGCTAGCAATTTGGGGAGCCCACAGAAGGTGCTAGGTCACCTAGATCATTTAGTTTCTTTTCCTGAATCACACAGGACAGAGAATTTCTTCCAGACTCAAGCATGGCAATATGTCAGACATCTCACTGCTGAACAAAGGAAAGAGTCAAAGTGAGATTAACTGGTCTCAAAACCGCCAGACCTTGCACAGCTCTGCTCTCTGCAGATGCTGTTTGAGATGCTGGGATTAGCAGAGAATGAAAGCATGGGCATGCTGAATAACGAGCAAGTTTATGCAAGTTTACTGTCAGTGAAATGAGAAATAATATTTACAATCAAAAGGGGGTTTTTATAGTTATCATTTCTGAACCTGCTGGTGGTGAACAGCTTGTTAAAATGACTGTAATGGGAAAGAGAGAAGGGGGAGCAATAATCAACCAGTGTAGGTTCCTAGAGTCCTTAAGAACCTTCTGTCACCACAGAGAGAGATGGGCTCCGGCCCACCAGAGCAGCCACTGTGCTGCCATCCACCCTTGCAGGAGCCCATCTCTCTCCTCTGACCAGGGGAGATGTTACCTTCCGGATCTGACCAAGGTTTCAGGGGACCACTGGGCCTGTCCAACGACCCCCACTGTACGCCTATGGTCCCACCGGCGTGGTCTCACACCCTGCCTCTGCTTTGACTGAAATTCCTCTGGCTCTGTTAGCATGAACCAGTTTTCCCTCTTTGTTGCCATGTTAAGTTTTTGCCAGCTCAGCGTGCCAAAACAGCTCAGTGTAGGATCAGACAGGAGCCAGAGACAGCACGAAACGAAAGAAGGGGTGCAGCACAAGAACGAGGCTGCATAGCCAGCCATTACAGCTTAAGTCACTGCGGAGTTACAGCCCAAATTTAGCACCTCCAGTTAGGCAATGTGAATATCCCACCGTGTTGCCTTCCTCGAGACGTAAACCAAGCCGTTTAAAGTATGTTTTACTATGCTGCAAGCACAGCAGTGTTTGATTCACAGCCATACAAACTCCCTAACAACACTAAACAGGACTATATAACACCCCACAGGGAAGAGAAATAGCCCACTTGAGGCAGCACTGGATCATAAAGGAAGATGCAACATTCAAGATTCAGAGGAGAAAAAGGAATAAGAGTAGCCAAGCAGGCTTTGCTCTAACGAAGGCGTGAAGCAGTCATGTGCAAGGACACTGTCAGCCTCTGCAAAGGTACAGCAGAACTATTAGCATGTTGTCACTGTGTCTATCTTTAGAAAACTATTTAATCTCAATATTCATTCCACAGCATGTGACAGCATTGGAGGCCCACAAACCCTAAAAATGATTATTCCTCATGTGAAGTAAAGGGAACTGAAAGGCACTTCCTAACCTTTGGTCAAGAATACTTAAACAAACCTGCATTTGGCTCAGTCTTGCAAAAGTGTCACAAACATTGCCAGACAGGTACAAAATTTATTCATCGTTAACCTGGCACAGATGTAAAATAAATGAGACATCACAGATGTAAAATAAATGAGAAATCATTTATTTGGCTACCCGAGAAAACATCCTTCCCCACAGTGAGTGTACTTCACCAAGTCTTGATCAATCTAACTGTACCCTGTCACACAGAAATGTCACTATTAATTTGCCCGGCCTGTGCACAAATTAACGTGACCTAGCCACCAAGCACACAGCAGCAGTAGCTAAAAAAAGAAGCTGAGCACAAGGTCTGCACTCCTGTGGAGTGAAGTGGATGCAACTAACATCTCATAATAATTTCATGTCTGGAGCAAGGCCTGAGAAAGCTCCATTAAAAATAGGTTCTTAATCTAAAGTCTAATGGAGCATACTTTTATTCTATGTGGAGTTAAAAGTACTTGTAGGAAAGGGCAGGAAAGGTTAACAATTCCTCCGTGCACTTTCTTGTCAGTCCTGTGCTCCACACAAATCACTGAGAGCTTTGAGAGCATGGATGATCAGGTCTTCAGGTCAACGGCAAGTTTAAACTTCACTGAAACAGTGCTAAAAAGTCAAAGTGTCTGTCCGTGTTACAGAGCTTTCCGTTTGCTCTTATTTCTGAGTGCTACACTCCTGCAGTTAACACCTGGTTTTGTCAAGGAAACTAGAATAGGTTTCTTCTTTTTGGCTAAACCTCTCTTACAATGTATTCATTGTAACACTAATGTGTGCTACAAATAACATAGCTGCACAGAAATAGTCTAGACACACAGTAACTTCAGCTCTTTATGGTATGTCATGGTACACTGTACACATTTATTCACGGAGATAATGGTAACTAACTTTCAAAAAAAGTTGCTTCTCCACTGCAAATAAATTTAATTTTCTTCTCTCCACATCTTCTACTTACACACAACCAGGTTTTGCCACTTCACGCATGCTGAGTCGTTCATTGAATTTAATCTGAGCAATAAATGATACCCTTTGCATCACCTCTTTCGGTTACCAGCTGGTAATGCAGATGTATCCACCTACACAATTCTGATGTCTTTGTTTCTGTTAAAAGCCCTACTGATATTCAGAGGTCCACTTGTGTATTAGTGGTGCCACTCAATGCCCCAAAACACTATCTATTTTTTTAAAAACGTTATTTTCAAAAACCAACTTTATTGCTGATATATGCAGCCAGGATTTACAGACACTTCTGCTTGGGTAGGAGCAGTATTGGATTCTGATATCATTATCTTGGAAATGGATCAAGATGCTGAATGTGTCTCAACTAAAAGACCTGGATCCATAAAGATTGATTCTAATACTTTCAGGATTATCTATGTGATTATAAAACTGCTGCAAGGTAAGCTTTCAAATATTACAACAACATAGAAATGCTCTTATGAAGTATCAGTTTAAAAGTTTTTTTGAACCTTATTTTATAAGGTTCAATTCATTTAAGTAGGATTTTTTTTGAAGATATAATCCTCAATGAGTGGAATATTGAATGCTCTTTAAATCAGTCAATTGGGGATTTAATGCTACAGTGGTAAAAGCAGTTTTAGTAAATAAAATACTCAATAGTATCTGACTGTAAAAGGAGAAGGACACTATCTTTGACCTGATCATTCAACAGACTCAAAAAAGCCACTGAAACACTTCTTTTAACAGAAACCGGTTATTACAAATTTTCATTGTTTGGGGGGTGTTGGGTTTTTTGGGGTTTTGTTTTTTTCTGTGGTAAAACACATAAGCAATAACATACAAGTAGCCATAGCTAGGGCAACAACTGCTTGTCATTGCTCCTGTAAATGTTAACGTGATTCTTTCCATTGGGCTGATATTAGCTGCTGTCTTGTCACAGGATTCTGCTCCACAGATATTCCTGGGCCATATGGAAAGTTAAAGCACAAGAACTGCATGGGTTTTAAATTAGGTGACTGCAGGTTCTTTTCTCGTATGTCCTGGTATAGAAGAGCTTGAGTTGACTGTAAGAGGAACATTCTTCTAGTAATGCTTAGTGACTGCAGTTTCCATATCTGCAGTCACATATCAATACGAGCTATGCTAGGTGAAAAAGAAACAGAAAAAACAATAGGTTTGGTACCTATCATTTTTCTAATGAATGGTCCATCTCGTATGTCAGCCAAGATACAGAGCTGGGATTGCATGAATGAGTGCAAAGCCATGCCCTACCAGGACCCTGGGGATTGAAGCATGGAACCCAGTTTATTGTCCTCATTTGGACCTGAACTGGACCTTAGACCTGAACACAAGCAAGAGGGTTTTAAAAACAATTAGACAGCTCTGGTCCTTCAAACACTTGTTCACAAAATTAACATCATTCACATGAGTGATCCCATTAAATTCACAGTATTATCCAGTACCCATAAAATGAAAGCCCATAAACCACTTGACTAGCTCTAACTCGAGGGATTTTTTCATCTATGCACCTGGGATAAACTAAGAATGACATCGCTCTGAATTAATTACTCCTCTGTAGCCCTTCTCATCACCCTTCTCATGTAGACAAATGCTAGTGTTTACAGGATCAAGTTCTTAACTGAAAATGTTCACTGCCAACTCATACAGAGACTATCGCCTGTATCACCTGATATTAACAAAACCAGAGATCCTATGTCAAAATATTTTAATGATCCTTTAAGAAGCAAAACATGATGAATGTCATATACTGCCACCATCCTGAGACTGTGCTTTGCTAAAATTAAACCAATAGTCAGGAGTTTCAGAATTTCCTAAATAACTCTTATTTTGTATTTTAAAAATTGATCACTCAAAATTCAGAAATGTAGCAGTCACTACTGAAAAAATTGTTTCCTTTTCTCCCCAAGTGTAAAGTATTTCTCTATTGTAATAATGCAGTTTAATGCTCACAAAATCACATCAGATCAAATCCAGTATCGAACTGCTGAGATACACACAAATTGTCTCCTTAGGATCATCACCCTGGAATTAAAACAATAAAATATGTTATTGATATTTCTTGTAGAGTAGGAAAACTGCTTGTTACACTCAAAATAAGCCAATAGTTTAGTCTTTTGTGCATGCATTTCACCACCTGCATCTGCTTTTTTTATCCTGCTTTCAGACTGGGAGTCTGTGACATTTATTGTACAGCATCACAGGCTCACAAGATTCTCCTGGGTAAGTTGGACTGCTAGTACCCGATCCAGCTCGAGCATCTGCTCTTTCTAAAGGAGGACTCCTTCATTTGAATACCCCCAGAGCTGCTCACACTTACCCCACCTGCACCACCCTCTTCAGGCTTCCTAAGCTAACCAAGGCTGGGTCTAACCAGTGTCTTCATGGGACACATCCACTGCTAATCTGAATACGGATCTGTTCTAAATTATATCATCTTAATCATATTTTGAAATAGCTAGAGATTATTCCATTTCTTCAACAGGCTAGTTCTGCTGTGGAAAAACCAAACCAAACCAAACTGAACTGAACCCTTCTAGATCTGTAAATACTTTTTCATTTGATTTGAAAGCTAACATATACTCTAATTAGATTTAATCTATATTTTTGTATTCTGGTGGGTTTTAACTAAACCAGAAGCAACTTATCTCCACTTGTTTCACTACTGACATTATTGTTAACACTTAAACTTAGTTAGTGGCTAAACACACGAGGAAAGTGTGTGCTTAAGAGCTATACTGCATGGGTACTAAAGCAGAAGACCTTTCTTTCAATGTTGTACACATCTAGTAATTTCACACTGGATAATATTTGCCCAAGTCCAGGATAGGCTGAATTTGGAATCTAGACAGTGTCCAGACAGTGACAGGAATCCAGAGGTGTCCTTATTTTCAAAATGTAGCGTCATTTTTCTCAAGGTAATTAAGAGTGAATTGTGGGACAGTTCATATTTCTCTAGCTACACTGAAACACCACAAACACAAAAGAATTTCAGCAGAATTTAAGTTCATGTTGGCATCCTACTGTTAGAAATAGGTTATTTATAACTATTTATCACTTATTTGGATTGCAGCAACTTTCAAGACTGAAAAAAAAAAAAGATCACACACTGATTGAGTTTGGAACAAAGTGATTCTCTTCAATGTTAACTGCTCAGCAAGTAAGCAGGCAGACCCCTGCTTTACAGGATGGTGCCCCGCTAGCTCCACCTTGAGTGTCAGAAATAGATGGCTTTTAATCATCTGGTTGAAATTAAAAAGCCCAGTCCCAGTTTTTACTTTCACACTCAGTCAAATGTTCAGCAGTTCTTGCTCCCTAAATGCCAGCACACCTCTGCTCAGGCTCTCCTCCTTCAGTCCTTCTGCTCAGACGACTGAACACTGTTCTATTCCTCAGGCTTAGGGAAACTCAGTTTCATTCTTTCTTTCTATGTTTTTTTCTGTTGACTGACTCCTCTGAGCAGCTGCTTAATGTTACTGTGCTGTATGTCAAAGCAGCACATACTCATCTTCCCTGCTGTCCCTTTCTAGCAAACAGAAAAGCTGATGGATTCTTGGTCAGACAAAATTTGCATTTTAACCAGGCTTCTGGGCAATCAAATTTTTGCCAGTCTGATTGATTTATCATCTGGCAATTTTTCTAATCAGATTTTTCTGTCTATTTTTAACTATGAATCAGGCCATTTCCCCTCCTTGAACCTAGGTTTACTTGAAGCTAATGACATGCCCTTCAGGCTTATCAAGTTAAACCAATGAACAAACAAGACTTCCTTCAGCTGCAGGGCCACAGCAAAAATGATTGGTAATTCAATACAAAATAGTAAAGATCGTTATTTTAATTACATTTCAAGATTTCGCTGATGTCTCATTTTCCATTTTACCATCTGTGACAGGTACACATCTACTTTAGTGAAGACATGTACACGTCAGTTGAGTATAATCATAAAGGTGCAGGAGCAGATATTAAGGCAGATGGAGTTTCCCATATGGTTCAGCACCAGTTCAACAGGGCTCTCATATCTGACAAGTCTCTCTATCCAGTAAGAAAAATTCACTTGTACAATGGCAAGGATGGTGTTTAGGAGCAATACTGCCAACACGATTCATTGGGATGCAGTTAAGCTCTCCCTATACTGTTCCAGAACCTGCTACCTGCTTGCAATAGAGATGCTGGCAGCAGAGCAGCTTCCTTTACTTCTTATTTACAGCAGCAAACGTTTGTGTACTCGTAACATGTGAGGGAAGTTCTGCCTGTGACTTCTGTGGGCACCCAGCAGTGTAAGGAACCTTCAGCTACCCACTAACAGAGAAGAGTGTGGAGCAGGGAGAAGAACATAAAAGGGAAACTGAAAACAGAAAGGAGATTGTTCAGTTTTTAGAAAAGGTCATCTTCAGTGAAATATACTCATTATAGACTTTCAATTATCTCTAACAGTTGATAATCGCAGAATGGTAGCTCATACTGAAAGCATTTAATTTCTTTGGTTTTAAAGGGACAACTTCTCTCTTTGTAAATGTAAGTGTAAATAAGGGTAGCACAACTTATCCTTCTGGTTGTTCTCTTCTTTACAGCTTATTTTGAAAATTTGGCCACAGAAGTGATTTTCAGTCTGTCAAGCATGGACAGCATTTAATTAACCTGTACAGATGCTTAAACGTTTTTGTGGCTTCTATCTGCTTCTCTCTAGATTAAATATTCATAAAGAGCTGCCTTTCATTTTCTTAGCTGGTGTGGTTACTACAATTAAAATTACATGGTATGTCTCCAGCGATTTATATTACAGGAAGAATAAACACAATGGAAGCTGCAGGGTATGAACAGCTTAGGCACTACATTATGTATTTCTTAACCTTTCCAACATGCTGCAACTTCTAACAAGCAAAAAAGCATACCTCAGCCACATGAAACTGCATACACATACACCTCCTCCTGGGTAATCTCCTGCCATGGACTAGGAGAATGGATTCACTAGATGGCTTCTAGGCCCCTTCTCACATGTTTTATATTATTCTAATACTGTATGAAAGCAATTTATTTTTCTATGTCTTTAAGTAAACTGAAACTGAATAAAATTGTGCCTTCTTGGTACTAGCAATCTGCTAGTTTCAAACTTAGCAGTCTCTAATGATGAACCAAGTGTGAATGTATCTTTGAAAGCATGTTTTCTAAATACCATCAAAGGATATTTTCGAATACATTTCAGGACATATCCAGAAGAAAAGCCCTTAGTTTTTGAACTTAAAATTTCTGGCTTGAGCAAGATGATGCTATTTTAATTTATTTAAGTTGAGTAATACAGTTATGAAATTACATCAGTCCAATTAAAGCATGTTGTATACAGTGGTCTTTCTACCGGACATTTCACTTACTATTATTATCAACCCCTGGAACAGTAGAGTTATGTGAAAGGCAAATCTGGCAACAGTATTGTGAGCTGCAGAATATCTGAATTAGCTTAAAATGATGAAGTTGTATTTAAACAAATTGGTCTTATTTTGTCCACAGGGCAAATCAAGATTGAAAACATGCAGACCAACCTTTTCAGAGTCATGTGTAACCTGTACACAGTAAACTGGCTCAAGGTCAGAGGTTAGACTCTGTGCTGCATTTCTCTGAGGCAATACACAGAAGGTAGAAGCCCAAGGAGGATGGAACAGTTTGAAAGGACAAAGGAAAGGGAATGATGCTTCATCCTACATTTGTAACTCCCAGATTCTGAGCTGCCTTAAGGTAAAATCCTCAGGAAGATCTGCTGTAGTGTATGGCAGCTTCCTCACTGCTGTCCACAAGCTGGTCCGCAGCCCAGGGCTGCAAGAGCATGCTGCTCTAAACTTATTTTTACCTAACAAGAGGGAACAAGGGCACATACACATGCTACTCCTTCACGGGGCAACCTTAATCCTGGCTGTGCCAGGATTAGGTGTCTTCTCTTGTAGATCATAGTACGTGACTGCCTTTAATAAAGCAAATCACAAATGAAGCTGGTTCATGGGAATTGATACCAAATCAAACACAGGTTGGTAAAGACACACACCTGAGAAAAGGAGACACTACTGACTGACTGTGAATTATGGTGATAATGTGTATTTAGCTATGCTCCCCATCTGAAGTTCATAATCAGAAAACATTTCTCAGCTCTGCGGTACATTACATTTAGTCATAAAACTCCAACCTTTCATTTATTTATGAACACAACTTTAATTGAGTGAGTGGAAGGTAGAAGAAATGTCTCTCTAAGGAAGAACAGATCCTCACTGTTCACAAAACAAGTTTTCCCTTGATATATTACTTAAAGACATTTTACATGGTGAGAATGTGACCTACCTTTTCAGTCTGATTCACATTTACCAAACTGCAACTTCAAAATGCCTTTACCATGAAGCTGAAGGATCTGGTTGTATTCTTTGGGCATTGCATGGAAACCTGGTTTAGGCAGCTGGTTGTCGTAATAGTGGTGGCTGATTGGCATCTTCTCTGTGGATTTTGAGAAAGGCCAGAAGCCATAGAGCTTCACATTCTCACACAGCTCAAGAGCAGCACTAGTGATCATAAAACCAGATGATAACCGATACGCTTTCACCCCCTTAGTTCTCCAGAACTGGGCAAGACTTTTCAGATAGGTGGGATGAAAAAATATTGCCCTTTGGGTTGCTTTGAACTCTTGCAGAGTGTGATATACTTTAAAAGAAGTGGCTGTGTTGCTTCTGAAGGAAAATGCTGGCATTAAAAGGAAAGCATCTCCATAGACTGCAACATTCTCGAGAAATTCTGTCTTCTTTTCATTTAGTTTGTTGTATCTGCAAAGTACAACATTTTAGGAAATGTACTGTTGATATAAATATTACAGACCAAAACAGCACAACTGCATTTGCACACATGAGTGATGAACT